TCGATGTTTATTATTTAACAAACTCCTGATATATTGGCCATTAATTAGCAAATTATTACCTGGCAAGTCCCTCGCATAGTGACAGGTTGTCAGCCCACTGCTTCCATGGCAACTATTAATCATTAATTTTGGGCTGAAACTGCTAAAACAATTATACAACAAAGAATGTTGAAAGCATACCCTTCGGTAATAAACTGCCATTTTGGTACCCAAATTACATTTTATTATAAAAGGGAATTAATAACATTTAAGGTCTTAAATATCATTTAAAATAAAAATTAAATTAAGGTTTAAAACAGGTTCGTCATGTGTGTAAAAAAATTCTTTAGAAGTGAACAATTTTGTACATTATGTGTAAAGTTGATGTTTTCACTATGTGTCGGTGCAATACGCATAGACAACACGTAACCACAGTATCATGAGTTGTATAACTGTGTATCTGGGGGCACAGTAGTGCCCCCGCCAAGACGATAAGATGAGCTAAGAGAAACGCAAGGGCACAACCAGCTTTTCCCGATTTACATTACACAATGCATATTTTATTGAGTCACTTAATATAATCATTTTTTTTAATAGGATCATGTCAATAATTTTACATAAAAAAGGATATATAAAAAAAGAATTCGTTGTGAGTTTGCAATGAGTGTCAGTTCGGAGTTCATCAAACAAGACTCTCTTAAATAAATAGGTAGAACATAAATATTTTACAGGTACTTTTATCAAGAATACGAGTCAATGATCTTTAATGTAATCAATTAATTACCCAACATAAAGGCTTTCACGAACAAACTCCGAGCTTAACATCAAACATTTTCTAAACTTGTCAAAACGTCCGAATAACGGTTGATCGATCGACAAAACGTGTCTATTCAGATTTAATTATGCTTTATTGCAGACGTGTCAAAATATTGTGTAAATTTCAATGAAGATTTAAAGATGCAGGTAGTACTCAACCGTGTGAATTGCCATTGCAAGCATGTACAACTTTGACTATATGTAGGAAGGTACTTATATTTGTAACAGAATAAAATTAATGTTCAGCTTGAACGTTACCATAAAAATTATTTTGGAGGGCTTTAAGTGGAGCGTGAAAGATATCAACACCGTGGCATACATATCTCGTTGTATGCATCTTTAATTCTGTAAAACGGTGAAGCTAATTTGGTTTTAAGGGAACAGTTAACGAATGATATGATGTAGACGGGGGATTTTTCTAGTTTATGATAATGCAAAATGCACAAAAAATATTTCATATTTATTGACTATTATTTTTATTGTATCTAAGTGTCTCATAAACATAATTATTACCTGTCTCAATTCCAATTTGACACAAACTTAAATTATTGAATTTTTAACAAGAAAAGAGAAAAAAATATGGTCACAGCTATTAATAATAGATCGCAGTAAGAGCCTGTTTCAACAAAATATAAATCAATGATTATTTTCCATTTAGCTACAGCTATTTTGAAATTCATCACAACAGAAATGACAAGTCTGGTTAGCCTTGACGAATTTGTGGTAGCGACACGTGAATACAGAATTATTAATCGTACTTTTACCTACCCTGATCTTTTTCTAATTATTTTCAGACAAACAATGAAATTGAACGCGTAAAAAACTTTGTTACACCACCATTCGACTTTATTCCCAAGGAATAAAGAGTAATATTGAATAGAATATCTGCAGGTGTTTGTTATTTTTGATCCATTTAGGTAACTTCACTTCACAAAAATAATATTGTATAGATCCAAAAAAACCGTGCTCCTTTATTTGTATTTTGTTAGGTAATATTTTACGCAGCATGTATGTTTTTAATTAAGGTTGGTCCTAAAAAGGTATTTCTATGTTTTTATATACACATTAACAAACAAGTTAAAAAAAGATTAACAAAAGATACCTATTTAATTAAATCAAAACATTGCTTTGTGACTTTGGACATAATTCAATTAAGGATGAATTACTATTACAACATTTTTATTCAAGCATCCTGAAATTATAATATCTAAAGAAAAATAAATCATCTATTACAAAATCTAAGATCACATTAAAATAAAGCCTACCTTTTTGGTGCTATTGTGTTTCTGTCGGTGGGTAAGGTTCCAGGACTCCACGGGGTAGGGGATTGGGTCAGAGGGGGCAACAGTACGGATGATATTTTCAGTATTGCAAGCGTCTATCTATAAGGCTATGGTGGGCGCTCACCATCAGGCGGGCCATACGCTTGTTCGCCACCTTTTTAACATAAAAAACATATTGCTGATTTTTTCTAAAGAAAATTAAATTTAGTTAACCTATAAGTTCTATTCCATAGGCGATGGGCCTACACTCTAGTTAAAATGTCTATTTTATGCTTATGGGCGTTCGACGCTGTGTCATAATGTCATAAATAGTTGAAAATTCAGGCTAGTGATGACACCATAGAATTTAATTTATAAAATCGGGTAAAAATATGTTGATATGTTATCATTTCATTTTTTTGGATGTTTGATAAATCAAATGCAAATAAGGCTATATTGAACACAACAACAACAGTATGCGACAATTAGGGAATCGTATAGTTTTCTGTACGGTTCTTTACTCATGTAGTTTTATGGTGCGTTGTCTACTTTTCTCTTAATACAATTCTTATTTATAATTACAGATTCCATAGTCAATGGAATATCGTTATCAAACCAATATCTGCTATTTGCAAAAAAAAAAACTTTAACATAGCAGTTACTATTTGACAATATTCTGGCTGATGCACATACAATTTTATGCTTTAGGACGTTCGATGCTGTGTCATAACGTACATCTGCAATGAAACTCATTAACGTGCTCTCATTCACAGCGACTCAAAGGGACCTGGATTGTTACAAACTTTCAAAGCACTTTCCGTTTGCGAGCTGGAAATGAAATACCAGCGACAAGCGAGCATAGTCTTTTCTTTCTGTATAGTGTACTCAGTGTCAATTGGTGTGTTGTATTAAGGGTTGGAGGAGCTCAATGGCGCAACTGCTATCGTGGAAAGTAAGCAACTTTCGCAATGGCCGGTTATTGGATGGGTGACCAATACTTTATTATCTCGTACACCTCTATGCTTTGGAAGGCACATTAAGCCGTTGGTCCCGACTGCATCTATTCATACTGTCGTTAGTACTCACCAATGCGTAGTGGGTCACGCACGGCCCAATCTCCCTGTTCTATCCATGGGGAAGTCCTGTGCCCCACCAGTGGGGATATTAATAGGCTGGGGATAACTGATTAAAGGTCCATTGGTGATACAAGGTGGCGCCAGTGTATTGCATGGTCCTAAGTCTGCGATAATGGAAGTTAAAAAACTTTGACTTGAAAATGAATCAAGGGGTATTTTTTTTAAATCTGCCATTCTATCTGGCAAAGAGTCATGTGCCTCATCTGATGTGATTGTAATCAGCCACTAAAACTAATAGATATATATCATACTAAATAAAAACTCGCAAGATGCCTACCCTGATCCCATCCCGTAACCAGTAGAGCCCACGAAACAGTACTCACCGACAGAATCATGACACTACCAAAAGGCAATTTTATTTAATAGTGGACTTCTTTAAGGTGGTGGTAATATTCCGAGAGAAAACACGCTGTGCCCTATCTCTATAATAGCCACTCCCAGAATCTTGAATTAAGTGTTAAATGTGATTAAATATAGCACTGTCTTTTTATTTGCAACACAGAATGCAACTTTAAATGAAATGTTTTTTTTTTATTTACGACCACTAGGCCCACTTGCACCAAAGTTCTTTGTTCAAATTTAAAAGATAATCGTGTTTAAGCCTCAAGCCATCTCTATTTGACCTCAAACAATTGAAAATGATGGAATGATTTACTAAATTCGATTAAGACTTAATTTAAATTAAGAACTTTGGTACAAGGTGAAATAATAAAATATAGTGGAATAGAAACTCATGAAATACCAATTCAAAGCGTTCTGACTATACCTGCTGTCAACGTTCTTTCACAACACATCCTGCTCCGTTCTATCGACAGACATGGAAACGAAACTGTTGAAAATATAGGCCAGTGATGACACCACAGAATTTAATTTGTTAAATCGGGAAAAAAATATATTGATATGTTCTCATTCGATTTTATTTATGTTTGCCAATGCCAATTAGGCTATGTTGAATATTGTAAGCGACAATTAGAGTATTGTGGTTCGATATTTATTGGTATTAACATGTATTTATATTCAGGTGTACACACTGACTACCTTTATCTATATTCTTTACTACTACGGGCCTACTGGAAGAAATTTCAGATTAAAATAAGTTGTGCCCTTGTACAAGTTACCTTTAATAAAGTTGCTCCTGTATTATTTTTTGTGTGTACAGAATATATAAATAAATAAATATATACGACGTCAAATTAAAGATTTAATGCAAATTTGTAAGTTAATTCATTATAAGATAGACTCCCCTAATCTTCTTACTTTATTAAATTTTAATACTCGCTTTAGATTAAATTATAATATATTTTGTCTTCAAGTCTATACAAATAAAACTGCTTTCCATAATCCCATTGTGAGAATGTGTCGTTTGTACAATGAGATTCTTGGTTCTAACACAGACATGTAGTGACAGTGTAAGCGCAATCTGGCATATGCTTAAGATTATTTTGTGTTTTAGCTACTAGACATACATGTTTTTGGAATAAAATTTGCATCTGTCCATAATGCATGTTATATTTGTTCTTAGCGATTGTAATCTGTTTTGTGTGCTATATGAACATATTAGTTACGTAAAAAAAAATATGATGGAAATGTTGAAATCTCCAAAAAATGCACATAGCAGATATTGATTTGACAACGACGATGTTCAGATTCCAGGTGTATTAGTACATCCATTATTGTATTGCTCTACTTAAATTACTCACCACTTAAATCAGCCGGTTTACTCGGGCCATCTCATTGGAAAAAATAAATAGCGAGAATACTTAATCACTATTCAATTTATAAATGTTATTTGTTTCCTTGATTCCAGAGTCCAGATGCGTGCAACACCTGTCAGATGTGCGGAGGCTTCCGTCTGTTGCCCTGCAAGATCTGCAACGGATCCAAGAAGAGCCTCCATCGGAACCACTTCACTGCAGAGTTCGTCGCATTGAAGTGCATGAACTGTGACGAAGTTGGTCTCGTACGGTGTGAGGCGTGCTCCTGAAGACCACGTAGTTTTTGAGCATTGTTCACAAGTCACAAGTCAGAATTCACATTCATTAAAAGATGATCGAAATTACTAAGATTTCAGAGAATACACGGGTGTTGAAACAAAAAAAAAAGGTAGTTACATGATTGCTGATAAAATGTTTTACCTTTGTTGTATTAACATTTCATGTGGCATAATTGAATGGCATATCTACAGGTAAGGTAACAAGTGGCATGTTAAAGAGACATTTATTGAAAAGGTGTTGGAAGTGAAGTTGTTGGTGGTTATGTGATTGCTCATTCTACAGCTTCAATTCTACAGCTCATGTGGCGAGTGGAGCCCATTTGATAAGAGTTATTTTACGAAATTAACATTAAATTTTTCAATGTTGAAGGTTTAAACGTGCAAATTTAATGTATACAATACATATACTATTTTGTATATAATGTCATTAGTAGTTTATCGGCATTGATGTGAATTTCCAAATGTTTTAATGTATTAATATACAAGAATATTGGTAAAATAATTTTGTTAATTACTTCTGGGTTGGGAAATTAATAAACGATATTTTTTTGTAGTATGATGGGCCTCCGAAAATGTGCACATGCCTTAATATGAAAGTAATTGCTTCCATTTCAAGAAATTTTATTCACTTTTGATCGTTGGAATCAATGTATAATATACGAAAATTGTAAGATAAACGAAAATTGAAATTAATATTATCGATAGTCAATTTAGTATTTACTCAAATAATGCCAAGTATAAACAAGTTGATAATTAAATAGTTATAATTAAAATTTATTATGGTATAAAGACGTATAAATTGTATAAATAAAATTAATGTTTAAATCGATTTAACTTAAAGCTCAAATAGGTTTTAATTTACATGTTAAACATTTATAGACTCGATGAATGGTACAAAAGGCGAAATGGCCATTTTTATACTTTTTTTAAATTCATTATTAATATATATATTACCTAATTCTAATGCCTTGGTCACACGTACCAAGCAAATGAGAGAGAAAATGCTCTCGGCTCCAGTACTCGGTACGATCAAACATCACATTCTCGGCCAAAAATAATTTAACTGTCTCGCCCGTTTATTCGGTATCTGTGATTAAGGCATATAGTGTAGCGTTACAATTTATGTGACCTTGGAATAGGAAACTTAATTTCAAATATTACGATAATCACAAAAAGGCGTTTTACTCTTAAAATCGTCAATAATTCTTTCGTTATTTGTTTGGCCGAGCTTAACCCAATGGAGGGCCAGTGGGTACTAGGTCACTCAAGGGTAGGCAGTGCTACCGTTTAGACGTTGGGCAAGTTTGAAGACCAATGCAAGTGGCCAATATAGACAAGCTTTGTGGAGCTGCCTATATGTTGGGGAGCGATATCCAGTGCCGGCAAGCGACACTAAATGAGGTCACTATACACGTTGGCGCTTTACTTTACTCCGCATATTAGACAAGGGACACTGAACGATGACAAGGCAAGACAAATATGCTTTCTACACGTTGGTATTCTATAGTATTTAGGTCTTCGCTTGGCCTAGGACATAGGCTTTAAAATCATGTTAGTTCGGGTATGATGGAGGACCATGTATAGTTAAAGTTAATTCTAAATGTAAACAGCCACAGAATTAAAGTCTGCATAAAATTTGTAAAATATATAATCTCTATATCGTAATATTTTGCTAGTGAGAGGAAAATATTTAGTACAATCTCGAATGGTTTTATGATAAATTAAAGAGGAAATTGGAAATCTCGAGCGTAGAATATCGTTGATAAGCGATATCTACAACATCCTTAACACTCGTACCTTCACGAATTTGTGATTTGCAAATTTGGTAAAGTTTCTAGGAAAAAGATAAAGTTAATTATATTTTTTTTAGGATTTAACTGCTGGATGTTGGAAACTAAAGAAAATATTCCTAGAAAAAAATGCAATACGGGATTCAAACCTGCATCTTCCGTCGTTCGGGCGGGTGCACTTAAACCTGAACCGAATGTAACTTAACCTTTCTCTAGTACTAGGTACTTATACTATTTTCTAGTACTATGTACTATTTTCTTAAGATTTAAATGATAAAGTATCGTTGCTTTTTTTCCAAATTTACGAATGAAGTTGGATCATTATCTCTTTAAATAGATATCCCCGTAGGTAATTATTTTGAATTCGTGAAAGTGGCAAAATAATGTAATTGAACAACCAAGGTGCGGTGGTAAATTAATTAAGATATCACGCCATAAATAAGCTGCAATAAATTTATCTTACATAGAATTATTTTCGGTTAAGACATTTTTTTGGTATTTTTATCATTTCCTATAATATTTGTTGTAATCTACATAACAATATAGTTCATCTACATTTTTGCTTCTATAGTAAAATACTTGAAAATAATGACAACGAAAAGGCACTAAGCGAAATTTTGTTTCTTTTTTCATTTATCAACTAGTGCAAAACGCATTTGAATTAACCTGATAAATATTCTGTAAACTTTTTATACATGGAAAAGAGTTTCAAACGTAATCAGGAATAATATATTCTTAAACATATATTCATATTAAGATTTTCCCATTATCAATCATAATAATAGTAATAATAGTGTACACAATTTTTCTTAAAAATAGATTACTACTGTAGTGTCCATTGAATATATGATTACAATGTGAAAAGTTAGCCAATTAAAACAATTTGTGTATCTTAAACTCCTTTAATAATAATACCATTCAATTTGATTTTTGAAGTTTGTAAACATCCATTTCAAATTAAAATTGAAATTTATCACAATGAAGGTTTAAGGCATCAACCCCATAGGCGCGTTTTATCGGGCGGTAATATCGGATGCGTTATTGCGATACCACACATTTATTGCGTCATACTTCGATTGCGTCATTATTATCGCAGCAGTGTGTAACTTCGCAGCCGTTCTCATACATAATGTAGTAATAACAAATATGGCAATAACGCATCAAATATTATCGACCGATATAATGGCTTAATTTTGTTATTAGAAGGCTGGTATCATTAAAACAAACAAGGTCGTAGCTTTCTGTTTTAATAAAGTGATGATTAGTTATGGATCTTTTTTATTCGAAAAACTTAACAGATTACTTATACATAGGTAAATCAATAATTCGACAAATATAACCATTCCATTATCAAAATGTTGCGAGTATTACTCGTGTATTACTCACTCAAGACATCAATTTACTTTTATGTTTATTTCAGGTTGGTATTGTCAATTCTTTGCAATAACAATTTATTAACTTTATTGGCATGTCTCAGTGCCGCCGTTAAAAAGTTTCTAGGCCGTTTAATATTTTATTATGTACTTATTAATATTGTTACTATCATAATGTGAATATTAATTAATGATTATGTTTAGTAAAAAATAATAAGACTTTTAATTTTAAGTAATCTGCATAACTGCGATTGGCAACTTATATCACAATTTTTATTTCATGTATGTAACCTCTTTTTTTATATATAGGCTCTTTTAGCCTTAAATGTGTTGTGATAGTTTAATTTTTTTTATATCAATCGCTAGATATCACATTAAATTTAAGAAAAACGCCTTATTGTTTTTAATGAATGGCGATATTGTAAATAGATATTTAAAATAAATAACAAAAACAATATTATTTGTTTTATTTACAAGAGTTTACAGATGATATTCATTACATTAAGGATGATGACTAAAGACGGAAATATACTGACGTATTGTGTCGTGACACAATAGAGAGGTATCGGTTAAACATTTAGTACGGTTAGAATTATATTTGTGTGTTGAAAATGTTTGAAATCGATATCTCTATGACGCGCCACCACACAACACGACAGACAAATATATTTCCGGTGTAACTTTTTTTTCTATCAGTATTCAATGGGATCAGTTCTATTATCAAAAAATATTGGAAACGTATTTTTCTTTATTAAATTAATCAAAATATAAAAAAAGTGATAAATTGATTTTGATGATCCTCTTGGTACAGTTTTTACTTAGAAGTGACGTAACTAGCCCCTACTCCCATACTTCGATTCGCTTTATCATTGTAATTTCTTAGTTGATTGACAAAAGAAAACATACATGTCCATTATTTTTTGATAATGTAACTGATCCAATTGAATACTCTAATCACGAAATCTTACGAACAAATTAGTGTCGCATTGACCACTTTGCCATGATAGTAACACCACCACAATCACCCAGATACGACTAGTTAGTAGCTTTTAATACAGTTATAGCAATATACAGTTAGTTAGCTTTTCTAATGAATCTTTAAATCATAAAAGCCAGTTAAGTTTTGTAAAGTAATGTCCAGTCAGCAACGAGATGGTTAATGAAAACTGTAAGTTTTTAATTAACTTTGAGCATAAAGCAACACTGAAGAGAGTATCCATAGCTGGATTTAGGGCAGGGCAGGCGGGCTTGTGGCCCAGGGCCCACCCCACAACAGAAAAAAAAAGAATCAAATTTCTACGGCTCACCAAACCAAGTGCAAGTCGTAAGTGGTCCGGCCCAGATTTAAGGACCTCCACTCTTTCGTTGCCCCAGGGCCCCCACACTTCTAAATCTGGCCCTGGCCATAGCAATATAATATATACCAGGTATTCAAATTATTCTTACATTTTTTGCAGGGGGAATGTGCACACAAAGGCTGTTTAACCTATAGGTGTCCGTAAAAACATAACTGTAATACGACTCTCGCAGATAAACAATGACATACACCGCCAAATCACAATAAACATGTATCGTTTGTATGCCCAATTCGACAGAGAGAAAAACTGTGATGCCTACTCCCCTCTTAGCAGCGTCGGCCATGTTGCTCTATGACTTTGAGCTTTATCTTCTTGACTTTAAAAATTAATGCCCAAAATAGGCTCAGCTCAGACTAGGTGCTTGGCAAAAAACAATTTTATAATATTATTTGTTTTATTCTTTAACCAATTTGTATAACCGCAATATAGTGGAGAGTTTCATTAATAATACAATAAAATTAAAAGAAAATAAAATGATCACTTCCTTCTATTTGTTATCTAATGTCACATGGTCGAAAAAGGCTGTAAATCATCGAAATTAAATTAGAATCATGTCATGTCAGCGAAAATGACTGTGATTCGTCGAATTCACGTCATTTCAGCGAGAACGGTTAGGATTGGCTTGATCTAAGATGACATTGCAGACAAAGGCTGGGTTCCAACCCTACGCTCGAAGTGCAACAATATCAAATTCGATAGAAGTTTCATACATTTATGTCAACATTGAAACGTCAGAGTGAAAAGTCGCACTTGGAACGTCAGTTTGGAACGCACCCAAGCTATCAAAAGAACTGTTTTTTGTTTTAGACATTTGTTTAATCGATGGCACGGCAACTCGACGGGTAGCGCCATGTCAAAACCCTAAATTTTCATCTAACTCCGTGCTCGGCTAGTCTGACTGCGGCACTTAACTGGCAAGTTTTGTCTTATTCTTATGGAAGCGATCACTTTCCTATCCTATTGTTATTACCTAACACTAGAAGGGAACCTCCAAAATATAACAATAGACAAAAATTCGTACTATCTCAGGCTGCCTGGACAAAGTATGGTTCTATCTCAGGTGACAAAGTAAAAGGACTGCCACTGACTGAACCCAGTTAATATTAATTCCGACTACCACCTATTCAAAAATGCTCTTTTATCTGCTGCAGAAGAGTGTATTCCACTACGCAATCTCCCCTCCTTTAGCCGCATTTCATCACCTTGGTGGGGCAAGGAATGTACCATGACTTGCAAAAATCGAAAGAAGGCAGAAGCAACCTACGCCTCTGCAATGAATTCAAAGAACTACCTAAATTATGAAAAAATTGCTGCAGAAACGGTCAAGCTACTAAAATGTAAGAAAGAAGGTCCAAGTTTTGTTCATCCCTCCCCAAAGTCCTCCCTGACGCTTGTCTGGAAAAATATTAAAAGGTTTCGTGGATCGACATCTGATTGCCATAACACTTCTTCCGACCCATCTTCGTGGTTAATACCTTTCAGTCAAAAAATAGCCCCCCCCCCCCCCCCCCTTCGGCTCCTGCCATGGAAGAGATCACAGGGGAGAGCTCTCCATAGTTCTGTCAGGACTGGAGGACTCCTCCCCGGGAGTTGACGGACTCTTTTATTGCTAATACCTAGTGGAAAAGACACTAAACTTTGCTTTTTGAAACCCGACGAATGGAAGACGCAGATAATTATTCCCATATTAAAGGGAGGCAAACCTGGCAACGACCCATCCAGCTACCGCCCTATCGCTCTCTCGAACACAATGTTTAAAATATTAGAACACCTTGTAAAGAACAGATTGGAGTGGTTTTTGGAGAATAATAATAGGCTAGCAGAAACGCAATTCGGTTTTCGTAAAGGATCAAGCACAATAGACAGTCGGAATATTTTGTGCTGCTAGGATGCTAGTAGTAAACTTAATGATGCTATTTATTATCTTAACAACTGGCTTTTAGATCATGGATTATCTCTTTCTATTCCCAAAACTAGTATAGTTTGTTTCACAAGATCAAGATGTATCCCTGATATAAATATATATCTCTTGCGATGGACAGAACTTTCCGATTAAAAATAAAGTTAAATTTCTCGGAATGATAATAGACTCTGAATGGTACTAGAGATAAATTTCTCTTCAAAATTTACCAACTTTCGTCACATCCTCTTATTCAAAAACTTCATCTACTACACAAACTGGTCCCACCAAATGCAATTGAACCTTGCATTGAACCAACAAATGAATATTGGTCCCTTAAAGTCTTGCCTTGTCTCCTGATTAGCTACAGAAAACTAATAAACCTCCCATCTCCTGTGTATCAATGTAGACTGAACCCTCTATTTGAACCCTTTATCAGGCTCTTATTTATGAACCAAAAGTAATTTTAAATTTGGGCATAGAAAAACATTCATTAGATGCACAAGTCAGGTTGAACCAGATAATCTCTGAGAATTGGGCCGACTGGCTTACAATATATACAGATGCATAGAATACAATATATGCAGTCTGGATCCCTAAATATAATATAATTTTAAACTACAAATGTCCTCCGTCTTGTTCAATCTTCACAGGCGAGGCCATTGCCATATTAGAAGCTCTCAATTTTGCTGAATCCCACAAACTTAATAGAGTAGTATTATTTTCTTAGTCAAAAAGCTGTTTACAAGCTATTCATTCTAATCAATTTAAATGTAGATTTAAATTTCAATTTATTTTGAAAATCAAGACCCTTCTATTTCAATGTCACCAGCAAGGGCTACAGTTTGTTCTGGTGTGGATTCCGAGTCACACAGGTATCAGCGGCAATGAGACAGCAGATGCATGCGCCAAGCAAGCTACGGTCAGTGGCTCTCTCACCCACAATGGCATATATCCCAATGATCTAGCCTCCATAGCAAGGACGAATTTGTCCTCGGAATGGTCTGAAGACTGGAAAAAAACTAGCAAGACAAAAGGCTTACATTACGCCAATGACTGGACATTCCATGCGTCACTTGGTTTTCCCGAATTCGAAATTTTAAAAAACGAGTTATTTCTACCATATCTAGACTTAGACTCGGACACGCATGCATGCCGGTATTTTTGGCCAAGATCAGGGTTAAGGATAGCTCCCTATGCGAATGTGGCTCGACGAGGGTACCACAGATCACATTTTTTTCAACTGTCCTAGAAATTGCCCCTCATTTTATACGTAGCTTCGTACGTCTATCCCTCGCCCCGCTAACTTTGGAACCGTACTATTGTTTGTCCACTCCGATTTTGTGAATTGTGTGCATATATTGACAATAATAACATTAAATTGTAGCTAGTAAGTAGAATATTGCCGCTTCACGCCCTAAAAAAAAGCTTTAATTGTTTCAGGTACTCGTATCTCAACGACCTTATATTTTAAATTCTATTTGTACACTGTTCGGTTTCTGTCAGTTCTCGTCCTTGTATCTGCACAACGCCCTGCTACACTTGAAGTAAAGTCATTAAATTTTATTCAAAAATATACCGAACAAGCACAAAATGGATAAACCCTGCTACATACACTAGTCATTGGCTTAATCTTTAAGGGCCCATTAAAGAAGAAATTGAATTGAATTGACATTTGTAATTATGCATGTGACATCACACGCCATATTGCGGTTCAATCACGACTGTGCTGAAGCTGCTTCGCGTAAGCGGCATATCGTGCTTGGATCAGAGACCGCGCTCTCAAGGATCCCGAGGTCGATTCACTCAAAGCAGCCTACAATTTTGCTTCCAAGGCCTGTAAGAAGACTTTCATCAGAGCGGATGCCCAGCGCGTTGCACGTGTTGGCCAGGAACTTATGACGCATCCTACGGGCTCCCGTAGCTACTGGCGTCTGGCCAAGGCTGTGCAAAAAAACTTCTGCGAGCCCTCGCTGCCACCTCTGAGATGCCCAGTTGGAACACTAGCCCATAAGCCGCAGGAGAAAGCCGATTTACTGGCAAAACACTTTGCGGCTAACTCCCGAATCGATGATTGCAATGCACTGCCACCATCATTACCTCACTGTGGCACAACGATGCCTGATATTAAAATCAGGCAGCGCGAGGTTCGTGCCGAATTGCAATCACTCGACGTCCGGAAAGCTAGTGGACCTGA